TATATATGTATAGAGCAACTGTCCGGATGGAAGAAACAATACATCATTTTTAATTCTCATTTAATTTAAGGATGTGTTTGGCTTTTACATTGAAAACTAATATGATGTAATTTTAACGATTTCAACCAAACCAAACACATACTAAGTGCCACACAACTACCCATTTCCCTTTGGAAAAAAACTTGAGTATATCAATGATTAATAATATATTGCCTTAGATGCGATAACTAAAATGTAATATTTGAATTCATTAAGAGTTGTTATGTTAAAAAAAATGTGAATTTAGTAAAAAAAATTGACTAGAATATTATTAAAATATAATTAATGTTTTTCAAATATCTTAGTTAAATTTATGAAAATATAAATATATCCCTTTGTTATAAAGTGAAATTATAAATATTCCCAAAAAAAACTTAAGGATGAAATGAAATGTCTGTATCGCAAGCTATAGCCAGCCTTATCTTTATCCAAATGTATACCGATCAGATACACACAATTTTAATGTGACCACACAGCTTTATGGACATTTTTCTTAATATCGATTAGATTTTTCCCTCACAATTTTCTTCCTACAATAATATATATCCTGTTAGTGTATGAATTGACATGCATAACGAAAAATAAAATCAGTCTAAATTTATCATTCTCTTGAATGAGATATTTTTCAATGTAATTCATGAAATTTTCTCCTCGATCTAGTCCGTAATAAATTACATTTTTTTAAAAAAATAACTTATCCCCCACATATAGGCATGCATGCATGTATGTATGTATATTTCTTGGTTTATTCTCTAAAAAATAAAATATTTATCAATAATAATTTTACATTAATATCTCATAAATAATGTGGTTTTTAAAACTCACCTACACTAAACGAAAGGCCTGTTCAGCTTGTACATGTGAAAGATATTTAACGGAATAGAAATGATGAAAATGAAAAAAAAAAGAAAAGAAAAAGAAATGCGCAATGATGTAAGCAAAATACTCTATGCAGTGATGTTTGATAAAAAAAAAAAAAAAACTCCCAAAACCTGACTCACCTAATAAATTCTTCTTTAACCAAAAACAAAGAAATAATTAAAAAAATAGGGAAGAAATATAAGCAAATCTCCCAAATTTTTCCTTAACCATAAAATAATGTTTCAAGGCCAGCAGAGTTTGACTGAGAAAAAATAATAATTTGGGAGGTATCAAATTAAATTTCATTTTTAATAAATTATAAATTTTTAGATAAACTATATATAATTCATTGAACTTCAATCTTTGTCATTGACAGATAATTTTCTCAATACTTTAAAGTTGCGCAAATAGCTGATCTAATCTATAAAGACTAATTGGTTCAAATTGATGACATTTATTTTGCTGACACAGGCTTAACATTGTTAAGTTATGCGATGATCAGAAAGAAGCATTTTAAGCTAATTAAACTCTAAACTATGGGCAGCACAACCGAGTCAGATTCTTTTTTTTTTTTTTTTTGAAATGATGGGCAATACGGTCATTTGACACCAAAAACTTATATCAGAGCAGTTTCTAAAGTCTTTATTTATTAAATTGCATATATTTTGGAGTTGAAAATATCATTCTCCCATGTTATTAATAGAAATTGGGGATCAATCAAATTATTAACTATTCTTTTTGTTTAGTTTATAAGATATTTTTTCTTAATAAAATTATACATATAAATAAAGTTCTTTAAATACACTTTACAATATTTTTTTTAAATACAAATATAACTTTTCAAAAATATCCTTCATATAATATAACCTTATTTGTGAAATATTAAATAAATAGAGAGAAAATATAATAATGAAGGAAGGGTAGTATAGGAAAAAATATAATTAATAAGATCTTATTTTTATTGAAGTGTCTTATATTTTAAAATATCAAATCACCTCTAAAAATGTTTTATATTCTCTAGTTTCTTTGTCTCAATTTATAAAATATTTTTATATAAAATTATGTATACTAATAAAACTCATTAAATACATTTTAAAATTTTATCTTTTTGAAAAAAACATATAAATTTTTAAAAAATATCCTTAATTTAATGCTCCCTTTGTGAAAGTATATTAAAAAGAGATAATATAATAAAAAAGATAATATTAAAAAATCTATCATTAAAGAAACTTTATTTTTATCAAAGTATCTTATATTTTGAGATATTAAATCCCTTTCAAATGTTAAATATCGTCCACAAATATTTTATAGTTTGGGACAGAGTAAGTATTATAAACAAGGATGGGGAGAGTACATAATTTCTCATGAGAAATTCTTGCAGCGATCAGGTACACCAAATCATCTATGATCCGTATAATAAAACCATGTTATATTATCATCAATTGAATCAAATTACTCGGGCTAGATGCTCGTATAGAGTGAGTGATGATTTACAGAAGGAAATTTGGAAGCTTAAAGTGGTCCCAAAAGTGAAGCATTTTTTGTGGAGAGCTATTACTGATGGTATTGCTACAGGAGCAGCATTGTTTGAAAGAAAATGTATAGAAACTTCTATCTTTAGAATTTGTGGAACTGATAGTGAGCTGGTCGAGCATTGTCTCTTGACTTGTAAATGGGCTCAAAGAGTTTGGTTTGGAAGTTCATCGACTTATTTGACGAGGGGTGCTGGGAGTGACAGATTTGATCAATAGATATGGGGTTTTGTTGGGAAGGAAAGTGTTACGGGTGAATTTGAAAAAGCAATGACTGCAACTTTGTGCTGGTGTATATGGAAGGAAAGGTGTAAAGTGATTTTCTAGCAAGAAGTCAGGCCATCTAGAGTTGTTGGTGATGCATTAAAATTGGTTAATGATTTTTGAAAAGTGAATGGCTTTAATGTTAAAGTGAAGATCAGAAGAGGGTAAGACAAGAGCTATTACAAGTGGGTTTGAACTTAGAATTAGTGTGGATGGTTCTTATCAGATGAGTGGTATGTGCAGGCATTGGGGTGGTGGTGTGGGATACTGAAGGAAGAATGATTGATGGATTATCAAGGCGAGTTCATTTCAGTTCTGTTCTAACGATTGAGGCTTTGGCTATGTGAAAGGCTTTAAGTATGGTGGATATTTGTTCAGGTAGGCCAGTACTGATTGAATGTGAATGTGAGGTGCTAGCTAGGAGCAGGTTAGAGAAAAGGTTTGACTTATGTGATTGGAAGAGTCAAGTTGTGGTGCAGGATATTGGTGTTAAGCTGAGTAGATTTGCCAATGTGTCGATTTCATTCATTCCTTGATTAATGAACAAAATCACTGATTGGGTGACAGTGAGGGCATCAAAGGGGATGTGTCCTTGGAATTGGGTGGCAACACCTCCATTCCCTGTTGCCAAGCTTTTATTGGATGAAACTCTTGATTGTAAAAGTGGTGGTTCTAGTTTTGAGATTAAAAGTGGTATTGGCTAATCAATATTGCTTTTGCTCTGTTTGTGTTTGTGTTTGTTTGTTTGTTTTTTTTTTGTTTGTAGGTTTTATTTTAGGCTTTCTTTTTTGTGGGTTTTTGTGTGTGTTAGGTTATAATTTTTGTGTTTTTTTAGCTTTGATCATTGGTGTTTGTACTTGTTTTTTTTTTTTTCGTGATTAGTAAAAATGACTTTGTTTTGGCCAAAAAACAAAAGAATGAAATAAAATCTTATATGTTATTATTTTTAATAACTTTATTTTTGGATTTTCTTTTCTTGTTTTTCGTCTCTTTCTCATTATCAATGATAGATTAACTTTATATTTATAACCATCTAATATGATATTTCATTCATTAAAAAATGTAAGACATTTTTTGAGAAATTGAATATTAAAAAATGTAAAGTAGTTGTAATCTTTTGAAGTGTAATCATTGTCTTTTTTTCAAAAGTACCCATATTGATAATGATTTTATATTTATTGTAAGGTGTTTAATAGAGGTGAATATAAAAAAATAAGATTAATTTAAAAGTAGGTAATTACTTTATTGAAAGTGAGATTCAACTAAAATAATTTTTAAACGGAGGAAATGTGTCTTTTATTGAATAAACCATGAATGACAAGATCACGCATATTACACATGTTGAAAATGAGTATTAGCAGTCAATGCACAATTAAATTTAAACCGAAGTTTTCCTTTTTGACCAAAAAATGGTAAATTTCCTACGATTGGAATTAGGTACCATTTACTTGTATCACTTTTCTGATGAGACTTATAGATGATTCTACTTCTGCCTGTAATTCCGGCTACATTCATAGCCCAACTATCCCCACATTATAGCACTTTTTTTGCTAATTATTTCACACCTAAATTGGTTAAGCCAATCAGATATTCTGTTGCACATTACTATCTATCTAAAACTATCTTTATTATGATGCCGAAATGAAATTTATCTTCCAACAAAAAAAAAAAAGAATTTTCATAAGAAGCATCATATATCAAAATATCAAAAGGACTTGCTACGCAATTACTTTTAAGCTTTGATTTGCATAAAGAGAAAAATAGAAAGAAAACGAAGTGAAGAGAAAATTAAAAAATTAATTAAAATAATAATTTTTTATTAATTTTAGAAATTTTGTCCCATAATTTTTGTTACTCTCTATTTTTCTCTTTATCCAAATAAAGAATTATTGTTTACACTAGATTAAATCGCTTTCAAACTTTATATTTTGTGTAAATAACTTTCATATTTTAAATTATATATGCATATATTTTATAACATACATTTCTTTAGTAAAATAATGTATCAATCAGAACTCAGAAGGAGTAATACAACCTTATTTGACCTGAACATTTAAAAATGTTTCATACAACAATTTATCCTAACTTTTTTGTTGACTAAAAATTAACCTAATTTTTATTGTTAGGCGCTACCGCTCTAATAAGCTTTCAAGTTGGAAAAAAAAAAAGAATTGAAAAGAAAAATCTTGGGACTGTGGCTTTTGGTGAACTGGACCAGCTAAGGACGCAGGGCATTTTCGAAATAAAAGCCAAATACCGTCCTTTTTGGTAACTTGAATCCTTTAAAAGCTGAAAAATACCAGAGATTCCATTACAGCACAACACAGCATTGCATTTCCAGCTTTACTCCTTTCTCTCTCTTCTCAATTCCCTCGATCGTCCTCCGCTTTCTCTCTCTAAAATCTCAGAGGGGGAGAGAGAATCATACGGAAGCAGACAAAGGAGGAGGACGATTGTGCTGTAGGCTCTGCGATCTGCGAATCGGAGTGGAAGAGAGAGATCGGAAAGGAATCGATCGGCGATGGAGGAGGGGCGATATGCGGTGTTGATGTGCGCGGAGGAATCGGAGTACGTGAGGAAGAGGTACGGAGGGTATTATGGAGTGTTTGTGAAAATGTTGGCGGAGGAGGGGGAGAGATGGGACGTGTACAGGGTGGCGCGTGGGGAGTACCCGCGGGACGAGGAGGTGAAGCTGTACGACGGATTTGTAATCACTGGAAGCTGCAATGACGCACATGGAAACGACGCCTGGGTGAGAGAGCTACTTACTTTCCTTAAGAAATTGGATTCCATGAGGAAGAAAGTCCTCGGCGTTTGCTTCGGCCACCAGGTATGTATGTTTATATATATATATATATATATATATATTTATTGGTGAATGAAATTGAAACCAGGTTTGCTTATTTTTATTTTTATTGTTTTGTTTGATTAAATTGCGATTAGATATGTTTATTCTTGGTGCCTTCCGTTCCGTCCACAGTATATATAAAGAATGAGTTTGTTTTGTTGATAACTTTAACCTCTGGTTAGAACTTATTTTAACAATTTTATAGTATCTTATATTGATTGATATTGATGATTTTAGTGTTGGGCCAAAAAAAAGAAAGCATATTGACGATCTTAGTGAAATTAAAAGCAAATTGCAGAACTCACCCTGTTTTTTCAGGAGTACATGGCTTAATTTGTTAATTTTAATTTTAATATACATGTTATTGTTTGGCAAAAAAAGAAAATAAATAAAATAAAAGAGCTTAGCAGCTGAAACTATTTGTAAACCAGGAATAATATAGTTTATCTTAAATTCTGCATACATAGGCTTCTATACACACCTATATGAACATAACTAACTGGAGATTTACCTTTTGGCCCTATACTTTGAGAAAGATTAATCTTTAGCATTAAACTCCTCTCATTAAAAAAAAAAAAAAATTCTTTATGCACGGTTAACTTCAATTAGCTTGATGGTAAAATAGATGATATGATATGACGTGATTCATGATATGATGATCATTGATACAAAACATATTTATTTTTTCAAAAGATTAAAGTAATTAACTCTTCAAAAATTAAAAGAATCTAATTGAATCCATTTGGAGATTCTTTGCGTTGATTAATTTTGTTTTATTCTATTTTTTCTCTTCTGGCAAATAATTTGTCTCGTGAGATTCAGGCACTCGCGATCGCATTCAGACATGGATCCAATGTCTTGTACTCATCTGTCGGTCCCCATCTACGTTAAATATACAATATACAAATATATAAAAAAATAAAGTCTATTATTTATTTTAATTAACATGCATAAAATAAATTCATAAAAAAATAAAAAATCAAATTACAATTTAAGTATATATATATTTTTCAAATCAATATTTAGTCATATAAATTATGCATTAGATTTTGGAAGTAGTAGACGACTTATATGCACTCTAGATTTTAGAGCGTTATTTGCAATTCTTTTGATAGATCTGTGCAAGAAAAATGATATTAATAAATTTATAAAATAGATAAAGTTATTTTTATTATGATTTTTGTATAATCATGTAATATTTAGTATTATCTAATCAAATTTAAGCAAATTAATTAGTTGGAATAACTCTTCTAAACTGTCCATTACATCATACTCTCTCTAAATCATAATATAAGTCATAATTAACTAATAACTCACAGTTTACAAATAATACAAGTCATAGTTGAAATCTTGGTAATAGCATTTAAAATTCCAATGCTAGATTTTTTTTTTTAAAAAATAGTAATAAATGGAGTAGGGGTGTAATTGAAAAAAACAATATAAAGTTATCCAATATTCTATATTTTGAACCATATAAGGTTTTTAAAATGTCTTATATTGTGGTTTGGAGGGAGTAATGGAAAGTGTGTGGTCCCTGTCCCCATCAAGTGGACCTGTTATAACTGTTTGAATCGTGAGGTAAAATACAAAAGTTTTCTTTTAACAGCTATGAGAAATATTAAAACTCATCTATCAAGTTTCACACTCTAACAAGATTTTTCTTATTGCACATGGTATTTCAGATTTTCTTTAATATTTCGAATTGAACTTGTTTGGAGTATTGGAAGCGGGTAAGAGTTTGTACTGCTAATTATGAGAAAATTTGATCTGAAGTGATGGTGTTGCAAGTAAAATAGATAAAATAATCTAATAATCTGTTTCTTTAGAACTCGAAAGTTAGTGATTTATTTGCAAGGGGTTCAGAACTTGAAGTAGAGCTTTTTACATATTTTTTGAAATTTGATTTCTAATTTAATTATATTCTGAATGAATTACACAACTTTGATAAAAACAAGTAAAAATGAATAAAAACGCGTAAATAATAGTTTTAATAAAATCTCATAACTAAAACTTACATGAGTTATATTTAGGTCGAATCAACTTGGTATCTCTTAAATAAGGTGTTCATGTTAGGAGAGCTTTACTTGCTATTTGAGATTATTCCTGACTTGAAGCTGGATTATAATATAAGTCATTTTCTAAACATTTTGCTTGGTTCAAAATATAAAATATTGGATAAGTGTTATCTATTTTTTTGATTTTTTTTAATTAAACCCTTACTTTATTGAGTAATTAATGAAGGCGATTTGAATAAATTAAATGTTATATTTATTACACTTAAGGGCACCGTTGGAAAGATGCAGACATTTTTTAAAAAGTCAAGACTTTAACTAACTTTTTTTAGAAACTTAAACTAGTTAACAGTGACTTACTTGTATAAGATACTTGATTAAGTGCTAAATACATTTTTCTAATATTACTCCATTTAAACTCATTACCTATGAGAGAGAATGTCATACAAATTTTTGAAAATTTTTTCATTTAGATAGGAATAAAATTGAGGGTTTATTATATTGTTAGACAGAATTAATAATTTAACCGCATCTTTTTCATTTTGGTGAAGTAGTTAGAGGTTTTTTGTAATATAAACAAAAGTGGAGTAGAGCTTCCCAATCTTTTAGGAAAGGTAATTTCGAAATGACATTCGCAAAGGTAATTTCGAAATGACATTCGCATTTTTGAAAAATTAAAGTAATTTTAATTTCTCACCCTAATGTATGCGATTTAGTTAAGGGGTAATTGTAAAAAGAAAAAAGAAAAGACTCAATAGCATGAACGTGGGAAATAAAGTTGTGGCCTTATTTTGTTTGCAAATGAAGACAACTTGGGATTACGTGTATTTGATAAATGCTTTCACGTGCAGTCAAACTGAGAGCCACTAAACATGGGAAATCGTCTGTTTCTTTGCAGACGATTGCAACAGCTGTATGTTTTAGAACTATTGTTGAAAGGACCTCGTCATATTTTACGTTGTCAGGAATTATCTTACCCGTTGGTTTCATTAATGACGTTGCATGGTTCCATTCTTAATCACACAAATGATTAAGATCATGTCTCGTGATACAGAATGAATGTATCACCGCTATGCGTTGAGTGATTCCAAATATTAAAAAGAACATTATTATGCCTATTCATGCCCCTCAGATCAGTGTCATAAGATGGGATCTGTCTTAACCACTGCAAATTTATTGTCTTAGCTAGACATGAGAAATGATGCGTCTTATTGTAAATTTTATATCTAGATGTAATTTGCAAGCATTTGGACTTTAGTTTTTAATTTTTTTATAACGCCTTTTATGTGATGTTTCATTCGGATGTGCTCATCTCTTTGTTCTTGTTTTTTCTCATTGTTTGTTTATTCCCATGGTTTTAGTCTCCACGTGAAGTTGCAGACTTCTCAAAGCATATATATAATAGAATAAAACTTCCATCAGAAAAATAAATATGGTACAACCACATCACACCTAACGGCACTCACCAAATCTGGTGACGGAAGCTGATTTCACTTTATCCAAGAAATTAAAGACAAATATATAGATTTAGATGGCATTGTTATTTTTCTATGGCTACTAATAATTTATCAGTATCTCTTTTATGACCACGAGAACCACTAAGTTAGTTATATATTTGGTAAATGAGAATGATTGTTTATTACTCAACCTTTTTGTGATGTTTAAATCCATGTATCCTTTTTGTGTTTTTGTAAAGCTAACTTTGTTGAGTTGGATAAAATTATGCATTTCTAACGAGGAGAGCGCTAGCAATGGAATACTAGGAATGTGGGAATAAGGATTGACATGAATAAAGTCATCAATGTATATTCCCAATATTTAAAGAATGATGATTACCATGCAAGAGATTATTCTAATAATTATGGTCAGCCAAACATGATTATATTAAAATAAATCCATAACAATATGCTTATATTGGAATAGTGAATAGTGATTACTATGGGAGAGGCTGTTCCTAAGAATGCTAAGGAAATGAAGCAAACGCAACCTTAATGGTATTGAGGAGTGCAAGAGTACGAGTGTATATAAGTAGGACATACTAGTGCCATTTTGATATTACTTGTGTTCGGTAGTTTTTCTATTTGGTGTTTGTTTCCGAAAAGAAAAAAATTGCGTGGAGTGTTTGTTACGTTTTGGTGTTAAATTGTGGGAGTGGCTGTAGCGTGCTCGGCTCTACTATCTACTTATACTTGGTTTGGATGGGGAAAAAATAGAAAGGAGAAACTTCTAAAAATAGTTAAAAAAATTACTATTTTTGAAAGTGTTTCCTCCTTGTATTCTCTCCTTCCTGTTCTCTTCTCATTTTTCCCTCCATCCAAATCAATCTATAGAGGCGGGTTCAATCCTTACACTGGTGAGAAGTGTGCATGTGTGAGTGTAGACAAGGGAGTTTAAATTCTCTGAAGTTGGTATTCATGAATACATGTCAAGTTTTTCTCTTTTAATATTTTTGCTCATTTTATTATTTTATAAAGCATAAAATTTTCTCGTTCTTTCTTGAAAAGGTACATTTCATGAAATTCACGGATTTTCAACGTTTGAAGATTTAAATTCATAGATAAGGATAGTTTTGAATGATGATTGATGTCCCATAATCTAGTCTCTTTTCTGTGTGTCATGCAAAGCTAACTTTGTTGAGTTGGGCAGAATTATGCATTTCCAGCCTATCAGATAATGTTTGCCACGTCAGGATAAGATAACCTGATCACGTACACGCATCTGCATGTTGTGTTGTATTAAAAATATTACATACACGTACTGTATGTTGGAAAGGTTTCTGATGAAAATTACGTTTGGGTTTGATCAGATACTTGGTCGAGCATTAGGAGGGAAGGTGACTCGATCTCCCACAGGTTGGGACATCGGTGTCAGAACGGTGACGTTTTCATCATCTTCATCGCTGGCTCTGTCATCCCTCAAGCTCCCTTCAAGGCTCTCCATAATCGAATGCCATCGTGATGAGGTGTGTCTCTTTCTAAAAGCGACAACTCTAGCTTGTCGAATTACCTAATTATTAAGACACATACACGTACGTCACTTTTGAACCCACTTGTATACCTCTTTATAATCGACTTCAATGCCTATTGTTAAATGTTAATCAATCAGGAAGAAACATACCTTTCATTATAAGGTATTTTAGGTATTTCAAGGTGTAAACCTAATTAGGGGTATAACTACTTCAATTTTCTAATGAAAATATTCTATTAAATAGGGATAAACATGAAAATATAATTTTAAAAGCAATCAACTAACCCGTAACTTATTAGGGGTGTAATTGGGTTAAAAGTGTATTATAATATTGAATGAACAGAGTACACAGATGTAACATGCTCCTTTAGCCTTAATTATATAGCAAAGTTAACTAAATTTAAGGTTCTTGATGAACAATAGTTAATATCCTTAAACTTGTAAAAAATTGACTTTCACTAAAATTAATGATCATGATAAAGTGTGCTTAGGAATACAATTTGGTGCAATTAAGGAGGGGTAATATTGAAAAAAATTAACCACCACATCCTTACCTTAAATTTAGGACTAAATAGGATTTTAAAAACTTTGTCCTATAATAGACGCATGAGAGAGTATATTTGCATACACACACATTAAGTGTCATTATTCTTCATACAAGGTCTCAAATATATTCGTTTGAAGAAAAATAATGATAGTTAAGGACATGGACTTAAAAATGACTGAATCTCAATAGAAATTAATAATGCAATCTCAGTTGGAAATTAAAGTGAGTTGAGTTGCCAATCGTCTTTTTATGTTGCTATTATCCTTAGAAGGTCCCAAAGTGTCGTCTTTCATGTGTGTGTGTGTGTGTGTGTGTGTGTGTGTGTGTGTGTGAGTGCTTTAGTGATAAAGCGAAGTTGTTTAGTTAAGATAGTGAAATGGTGATAATTGATGGCAAAAGGTAAGAGAGCTGCCAGCAAAAGCAGAGGTGATTGCTTGGTCAGAGAAAACAGGAATAGAGATGTTCAAGTATGGAGATCACATCATGGGAATCCAAGGCCACCCTGAGTACACCAAAGACATTCTTCTTCACCTCTTGGATCGACTCATCCAACACAATTTCATTTTGGTATGTGTATCGTCTTCTTCCTCCTCTCTCAACCTTACCCTCTTGTGGTTTTTTCAGATCCAAGCTTGGATTATGTGCACTGCTAATTCTCACCCATTATTTCTGTTTGATTTCTGATGCTCTCAGGAAGCGTATGCGGCCGAGGCGGTGGCGAAACTGGCGTCGCTGGAGCCAGATAGGGAGGCATGGAGGAGACTGTGCATCAGCTTTCTCAAGGGTAGGTTGTGACAATGCCATGAGAGAAGATACTGAGAGTGCGAGAGACGAGACAGGTTTTGCAGGGAAATTGTTTTGTTTAAGGAAAAAGAAAATAGTAATGGGGAGAGATGAAAGGGTCAGAGAAGAAGTGGGGAGTGAGTCAATTCAAGGCTTAATTTGTAAGGGTTGACAGCATTTTCCTTCATGATGATCAATTTTAATTCCACTATGAGAAAAGTTGTTCTCCTTGTTTAATGATTTTTAGATGTCAGTGAAACGCGTTAATTTTAGAAGGAAGAAATATGGGGATAAGGGAGGAAAAATACTAAGAGAATAATACTGAAAGGAAAAGGAAATGAAAGGTATCATAGATTATAAAAATTCACGGAAAATGAAAGTCCCTTGTTTTAATGTATACAGTTTACTATCATAATTTGTTTAAAAGATAAATTGCATGCTTTCGTTAGATTATTTGTTAAAATTACACGAATTATGGCAAAAACAGATGTTAGAAATTCTTACTTTAAAGCGTAATGACAAGACTAAAAGAATTAAATTTAAATAAGGACTATGTGATTTGAAAATTTAAAATAAAAACTAAAGATTCTTCACTGAAAGGGTATAAAAAGTTTCTACTCGTTACATAATTTGCAATTTGCGAGCCACATTTATTAATATATAAAAGAAAAACTTGTTACATGTATCATAATTTTTAATTATTTGTTACTCTCGTATCTTTATTTTTCCAAATCAAAACATGAATTTGCAAACAAGATTCTTTAATTGGTGAAGAAAATGATTTCTTGGTAATATTATTTTGGAAAAACATGATCTTTAATTCTTATCGTTTCATTGAATTTTGCTTTTAGTTTTGTAATTTTTTTTATTATTTTCAATCTCTAGAGAAACTAAAACTACCGAAAAATAAAACCTACATGAATTTAAAAAATAAAAATTACTCGATCTTTTTAAAACTACAAGGACTACAAAATTAAAAAAAAATATAAGGACTAAAAACAAAACCTGATAAAATTATAAGGAGAAAATTTTGTGTTTTCCCTATTATATTCGACAACGCCACCAATTGAAGCCCTAATGTTGCTGGCTGCTAGATGATCATCGGAGCTTTGATGCCGGCAACAATGGAGTGTTTTTTTTTTAATAAGAAAAAAGAAAAGCAAAGATATTGTAACATTTTCCCATCTAAAATTATTTTTAAATTAATTCACTAATCTTATAGTGATATATCAAAATGTTTTGGTCCTTGTTTGCTATTAAATATTTCTGGTAGTCCTTGATTGCTATTCTCCCCCTTTTTTTTTCTAATGATATTTGCTTTTTTTTAAAAAAAAAAAATTCTTGCCCCTGCCAAATTATCAGGAGGGTTGGGTTCTTTTTTTTTTTTTTTTTTTGGGGGGGGGGAGAGGGAAGATGAAGAAGAAGAGCAAGAGGAGGACGATGACCTAGGCAGCAAATGTGGATATGGATAGAACTGATATTAGCAGGCAAAAATTTTCTAGTTTAAAATATGATATCCAAACAAACATAATTTTAAATTTTTATATTTTGCTCACTTTTTGTTATAAGTCTTTATATATATATATATATATATATTTTGTTTCTAAGTCTCTACAATTTTTTTTTATATTTTAGATCCCTGCACTTTTTTTATGGAAAGACTTAGAATATCAAACAATAAAAGTGTAAAAACTTAAAATACTGAAAAAAAATGCAAAGACCTATAACAAAATGCAAGTAAAATGCAAAGACTCAAAGTCATATATTTTTTTTATAATATTTGATAATACCGAGTCAGATTCAAGCATGTCAGGTTTAACTAAGGATAATTTGTCAGTATAATTATTTTCAACCACCAAATTTTATAGTCCAGATCACCTCCGCAAAATAATAGGAGAATGAGCCACGACAAACATTCTTGTAGTGCCTTAAGCATATTGCATTACCTGAAAATGAAGCAAAAGTAGAAAATATGAACTGGCTATGAAGATTAAGATGAACCAAGACCATGATCGAGTTGAGAAATGTTCTTCAAGAAAAGGCAATGAGGATGCTGAATTTCAGTTGAAAAAGGAGGGGGGAAAAGCATAAAATGAATTTGTATTAATTTTTTAGGCTTAGTTGGAATGAAGAGAAAAGTGAGAAGAAAATAGAGAAAAGAGAAAATTATGAGAAATTTTTAAAAATAGGAATTTTTTTTAGGAGTCTTTCCTCAAATTTTCTTCATTTTTCTTCCCTATCTTAATGAAGAGTTAAATTCAAAATTATACAAGCTAGTCAAAAAATAATTGTTTTTAAGTTGAAGAGAAAAACTAAAGCAAGAAGATACATTATGAATAGAATGTGTGTTGCCAATGGCAGGTTGCCTCAGCAATAACGTTACCTTCTTATGGGCGTATGGTTCAGGGTTCAAACTCAGCTTTAACAATTAAACGTGTGAGTTGTATATTTCAATTGATTACTTCAAAGGGAAAAAAAAAGAATAGAATGTGCATTACTGGATAAGTATAGGAAATACAAAATCAGATACTATATCCAATATATATATTTAGAACTTCAAGACACTTAAGCATCCTATTGGATTTAGGGAAGGGTAAAAGGTTGAAGCCCTTTCCTTTCCAATAGAAAAGAAGGTGGAATGGGATTCAACTACTTCACTAATTTTGATGTCACTTTTATATGCTAGCTAGCATATTGTAACCAACGCATAAGATTATGAGTGAAGTTTCTTAATTAGAATTCTCATTCCCATTTCTATTCCCAATAATGGTTCTTGAAGATAGGGCATGCTAACTGGGAAACAAAGATAGCAGATAATTCGGCTTTAAAAGCTAGCTCATCCCCAGGCCTGTACAGTTAAAGTGGAATCTCAAAGTTCGAAACATAATCAAAACATTTCCTTAGGAAGGCATTCCATAAAGAGCATCATCAACAATGAAAGAACAGAGCATGTGAAGTAGCAAACAGACAGAGCATGTTTCATTTATGGTGGCTATCTGATGCTCTTTAAAGGATTTGCCCAGGATGAGTTCAGTAATGCTGTCATTAATATTTGGAAGGAAAGTAAACTCTAATAGGACTATAAAGGTTGTAATTTTGTAGGGCATATCAAACACCTGTTACATGGAAATATTACACACAACATCTTCCCCTCTGTTGCGATTAGAAGGAGACTACTCCTCGTTGCTCTCGATTGAGTCCAACAATATTCGATTATGACACAATTAGATAGTCAAATTATGGAAAAAAAATATTGGAACAAACTAATGGAACCTTCCCAGTACTAACTTCTGCTCATTGAACTTGCAAGATTGGATACATTGGAACGTGAAAATGAAAGCAGGGAATAACATAATAAAGAATAGATGTAGCAAGGCTTTTTTACAGGGGAGGAGCACAAAGATAAGGATAAGGCCTTAAAGGATTTGCCCAGGATGAGTTCAGTAATGCTGTCATCAATATTTGGAAGGAAAGTAAACTCTAACAGGACTATAAAGGTTGTAATTTTGTAGGGAATATCAAACACCTGTTACATGGAAATATTACACACAACATCTTCCCCTCTGTTGCGATTAGAAGAAGACTACTCTTCGTTACTCTCGATTGAGTCCAACAATATTTGATTATGACACAATTAGATAGTCAAATTAAAAAAAAAAAAAGATTGGAACAAACTAATAGAACCTTCCCAGTACTAACTTCTACTCATTGAACTTGCAAGATTGGATCCATTGGAACGTGAAAAATGAAAGCAGGGAATAACACAATAAAGAATAGATGTAGCAAGGCTTTTACAGGGGAGGAGGACAAAGATAAGGACAAGGACATTGCCTTCTTTACTATTCATACAATTAGTAGCAACTCAAATCAAGAGCTACTAAAAGACATTTTGGGAAGGAAGCAGAGCTCCGAAAATGCAAAATAAAGGAGACAGGAACTTTAATGGATCAGGCTGGATGTAGATGGATTGATCAATCTTTAAAAAAAAAAAAAAAAAAAAGGCTACATGTGAAGGCCTAGTTTGGAATTAGAATGGTAATTGAAGATGCAGCTTCATGAGGAAATCGGGTTAATTCCCACTACTACAACGAGCATTACCCAAGAATTAGAGGAGGGTTGAACTTGAAACTTTGCTGTGCTCGAAGTTGCAAGAGGGTTATAGTATTCTCCAACTCTACTAAAAGTCTGAAACGATACTTAACATCTCCAATCCCTACTAAAACAGGAATCATCCAGATTTCGCGGGTGATTGAGAGATATCCTCTGAATATATCAACAAAGAAGCAAATGATTCTGCTGGTTAGTTATCAAAAAGAAGCTCATTATATGACCATCAAGGAGGGCCATTATCAAAAAGCCTCCTTTACAGTACATAGACCTTGTGAAACTGCATTTGATCATTTGCTAACCCTCAGTCATATTTGTTTACTAAAATGAAATGAATTAAAAAAAAAAGATAAAATTAAAATGATCAATGAGTATAAGTGAATACATTTATAAAGGAGAAGAGTAATTTAACTCATCGGGGTAAAAAATTATGATTCATAAAATTTTTAAAAAATATGATGATTCTCACTCTTATAGTATATATTAATAATTTTGTCATGCTTACCATAAAAAAATAATTTAATTTATTTTTATTAATTTTTCAATTCATCCTATTTCATTTTTTTTAATAACCAAACGAGATTTGAAAATTAATCTCTTTCTTTATTTCTTCAAAGCTTCACTTTCCTTTGCATTTTAAAAAGAGAAGAAATAATCTAGTAACATATCGTTGGGTTTCTAGAACATGCGGGTTTCTAGAACATGTAATTTTGCCCCCGATTACTTGGCCTAGGTACAGGTTGTAAGGGCATGGGGTCCTTTGGAATTGGCCTTTTGATGCCCCATTGCCTTTAGACTCTAACTAGCTGAAATTAATGAGCATGGCGCGGGCTGAACCCTGGTGGAGTATATTGACGACGGCCAACAAGAAAAAACAAGACAAAATAAAAGCTCAGGAAACATTATTCATGCGGAAGAGCCCATGTAGTCCTCTCTCCCCTCCTAATATACTTTTCGGCAATATATAAATAGCTAGCAAAGATTGTACCTAGTTTCATAGCTTTATGTGATAAATGTTTAAACAGAGAAACTTGTTTCGCTCCAATTCAGTATATAGCAACCATCAATAGATCCAAATACAAAGTAGACCAAATAGACCAATTATGACATCCAATGATCAAAACAGCAACAAATTGATACTGATGGTTCATGCAAGAGTTCTTTTCAGCTTCTTCCATAAAAGGCTTTATTTAAATGAAGCCCGCAACTACACATGAACGATCTTAACCATCAGAGACAGACAAGGACTGACACTGACGCAGACTCATGGCTGAGATAATTCTATTGCAGAAGGGTAGAGAGCAGATGAAGAATGGCTCAAGCACTCAATGAGGCTCCAGAGTTCTTCCGGCACTCTGCTAGCATATCCATGTAGAATTGGCACTTGCTAATGTCATTCCCGTAGCTGTTCAGGCACTGCAAGAAAATAATTGAACATCTCTAATGTAAGAAAATATCATGATGAAATCACTAAACAAAAGCAGGATAGCAAGATCAATGACTATATATCAATGATTTTCTTGAAGAAACCTTAAATTCGCATTTCAAACATATTTGGCTTAATATTGCATTCTGATACCAATGAGATGAATCACACTGATCTAGTTATTCAGTACATCAACAACTGAAAACATGAACAGCATGTAACATACTTGATGCCATAATGATCCAATCACTAGGAACTCATACATCAATGACTAACTATCGTGGTTTTCTTAAAGAAACCATGAATTAAAATTTCAAACACGTTTAACTTCAAAATACATTTTGAACGCAATGAAATAATCACATCAGTCCAGTTTTTCAGCAAAGCATCAACTGAAACTTAAAACATATAGTTATTGTTTTCTGCTGATTAAGATCTTTGTAGATTATTGTTCTTATTGAAAAAAATAGAGCTCCAAAAATTAACTAAATCATAACACCCGTGCCACTGTATCCAAACATATAGATGGCCTGAACAAGGTAAGGAAGGCATACATCTTGGAAAGCCTTCGTGTGAACACCACAGGCATCACCACCAAAGTATTCGCAGTCGGTGCAGGGGCAGCAGCAGCACCCTCAGTGACAACCGTTTCATGTTGAACAGTACGGGGACCCAACACAGCATCCACAGCCCTGTGTGCTACAGCACTACCAGTTCCAAAAGCCATGCCTACAACAATTTTTTCATTGGTTAAGCACAAAGACCCCCCCAAACATATCCCATCCCATTCATTAAAATGAAATAATCATATTCATTGACATACCCTGAGCAATGGTTGAACCAATGCCCCCAAGCATAGAGCACACCGCCGCTGCTCTGCATGGGAGCTGGAGGAGGAGCATGGTGAGCTGCATTTACACATAGCCATGGTTAGACGAAAAATAAACTATTTCTCATCTGGTTGAGTTATCTTAAAACTTTGTCGACTTTCAGAAGACACATTAGATCTTCATCAATCTTTGAATTTAAGGACAGCCTAAATGTGTGCACCACAAAAAAGGTATGGACATCTCAATTTTTTGGATCACATTCCAGTTTACCTGGTTGCGGAGGGGGGTTACGAGCTGCAGCTGGGCGAGGTGCTGGCCGAGAAGATCTTCCTGCAAAGATAACCATAACACAATGGATCATACTACTAGACTATGACCCCAGAATGCAAGATAGACAGATTGTTGATTAGTTCGTTGATAGACAGATTGTTGATTAGTTCGTTGATTTAACAATTTTGTCACATAGACCCAAAAAGTTATAATACTGGTGCAGCGAATGCTTAGACGACAGGGGACTCACCCGAGATGCGTGCACATAGCATGCATTCAAATGTTTCATGAAAAACAATGTTCTACTAAGAAATTTCCGTTTGCGGAATCACAGTCCGCAGAGTTGAAAACAGGATAAAAACCTGATTAGCATCCAAGCATTCTCAATAAAGGGGCAAATTACGCTTTTACCAACACCCCGTAAAAATCTTGCATACATAATCATCGGCTCACTCAATAAACACCGCAAGCATCACCAGAAATGGGAGAGCGTATGCATCAATATATGAAAGTTAATGAAAAATAAAAAATCAACCCCTGCAAACCGTTAACGACTTCCCATTTTCTCGGAAAGACAAAAGCAACAATACAGCAACCCTAGACAGAACATTTCAAGCGCACGACATAGAACCCGAAATTTCCAACTTTCTTCGAAATGAAACAGGAAATTCCTTTTTTTTTTTTTAAAAAAAAAAACCTAGATATAATCGAATATCCTATCCCGTAGATTTAAGATAGATTAGCGCCAGGAAGATGAGCACAAAAGGTAAATCGATTTGAGGTCAGTGTGTTACCACCGGAGCTGCGGCGAGGCATGGTTAGGGTTTGGGGTTGAGGCGGCGAAAAACAGATAGGGAGAAGAAGATCACAGAGGAAGAACCAGAGAATATGCCGATGCAGAAATATGAACCACAAAACCCTTAGAAAGGAAAAATTTATTTGAGTTGAGTTGCGGACCAGGCCCAAGAAAAAGAAGCAGAGTTCTAGAACAATTGAGATTGTGTTGACGTGTAAGTAGATCATTGGTTGATTTTCGGCCATCGACGCGTTTAATTTCCAATTATACGTTTATTATTATCATTATTATTATTGCTCAGGTGAAATAATCACCGTCATCTATCATAGAATAAAACATAGATTTATACTTGCACCAAAAAGAAAAAAAATAAAAAGTAAATATATATCCAGAGACGAATAATCGCAATCTCAAATGGTAAACCGCGGCCAAATATTAAAAGTAAAGACTCAAACTCAAAACGAAAAAAAAAGCACTTATATTAGATAAATTGAACAAATTAATAATTATTGATTTGTTCTCTCAATTTTAATTTTTATAAATTAAATTTTTAAAATTTATATTGATTATTAATTTAATTTTATTGTATAGGATGAGATAATTAAAATATGCTAATATGGATAACAAAATATTATTAACAACTATTAAATTAATAAAAAGGGTAATTATTAGATAAAAAAATGAAAAATTACATTCAGGTCCCATTGAAGGAAGTATCGATAAATCCCATGAACTTTACAAAATGCTCTCAAGTCTTAAATCTTGCTCATTAATAACTTAATTAAGGATATTGACAACTAACAATGATAATTTACAATGATAATTTTCCTTATAATTGTAAATGGATATTATCCAATTGTTAATACACCTAGTTAAGTTGTCAATGTATAGAATTGAGATTTAAAAATATTTTATAAAATTTATAGGACCTCTCGATAATAAACTTTCTTGCTGTGAGACCTAAATGCAATTTTTTCCAAGAAAAAAACAATATTCATAAATTTTAAAAAAAATAAAAGAAAAAATACAACATAAGAGATTATATATTAATAAAAATTAAACTAATTTAAGAGCTAATTTATTTTTATTTAGCTAAAGAATAGGATAAAAAGGGGATTCAAATATTTGAGAAAGACAACAAGAAGCAAAATTAATAAATTATTTGACTGAAGAAGTATTGCTAGTAAATTGAAGCAGATATGTGAGTATATATAAGATGGGTGAAATCAAATGATGAAGGCTGTTTTAGGTACTTAGTACAAGGGCAAGCTCTTATTCAAAGACATGTTGTCAAGGCAAATCGTGGCACTATGATACTTGTCAAAAGAGGACAAAACCATCTCATGTCTTACTATGAATTCACAACCTTTCTTTTCTTTTCTTTTAGGTTAAATTATACATTACTTTCTTGAACTTTGAATCATGTATATATAACCTCTTTAGTTTTTTAAAACTTTACAATGAATCCCCCTCAACTCTTATATTTATGCAGATAACTTTATATAATTAATTTCATATAATTATTTATGCATAACTTAAAATTTATGGGGTTTATCTGTATATCAATCAAAGTTTTGGAGTTTAAATGCACACAAAAATAAAATTTAAGGGAGTACATAATTAATGGCTAGGAGTTATTTCATAAAGATGAAGTTCAAGAAGGTTTATTATTAAGTTTTAAAGGTTAAAGGGTTATTTTGTATATGATTTAAAGTTTAGGAAATTGTGTGTAGTTTAGCCCTTTTAAATATAAAAAAGAACCCAAAGCTAATTAGTCAACACCTTGACTACCAATACAAAAATCCTCTCGCCATGACAATAAGAAGTTCGTTTGGTGCATGCAAGCATAAATGGTAATCCCTACTATCATGTTGAGCTCAATGTTATGTCCTACATTGGAAGGACTTAGGGAGAGTCTTATCTATATAAGCAAGTGCTACACACTTTACTAAGCTAACTTTTACAAAGAAAGTAATGACTCCGTGAAAGTAGTATTAGAGTTAGACCCTGAGTTTGTCTATTCGGCGAGCCCTTTAGTGGGCCCACCTGTGATGAGGTATCACGGATTAACCGAGGGAACTGTTATATCTTACATTAAAAGGACTTGAGAAGGGTCCTGTTTTTTTTGAGTGGGTGTGCTGCAATCCCCACTGAACCAGCTTTTTGGAGAGAAAGTAATGGCCTCGTGACATTAACTTTTGCAAGGTAGTTGCAACAATGTTGATACGTCTACTGACATGTCTCAGGCAGACCTTCAACTCCCTCTTTAATAAGGAGATATTACAGAGCAACCTTGTGTTCACTATGTTCAACATTGCACCCATTCTTCACTAGTTCTATAGCCTTAGTGAAGTTAATCTTGATCTCAACCTTGC